TAGTTTTCGAGAAAATCGAAATTTTAGTTTTTCGTAGTTCCGCCGCTCGCCGCTAGATGGCGCCACCTGTACCGTTTTGGACCGAATTCGACAAAAATTGATTTTCTGGCTTTATTAGGCATCAAAACGCATCAAACCCTAATAGAAATTTGTTTCTAAATGCCTCAGGATCCATACTACGTCGTTAAAGTGCCGAAATATTGCAATTTACACGCGCAGTAGAATTGACATAGGCGGCTCATCTACGTATTGCAATGCTGACACAAAATAATTAATTACTCATTACCGGAACATTATTTATGAACTTTTATGATCGAGCCATGTAAATAATGCATTGCTGACCATTCTTCAATCATGAAAGTGCACAAAATATATCCACAAAACGTATAATTAATTATTCAAAATGACCTTGTGTATACCGCTTGTCACTGTGGTTGGCCTTAGGTTATTAGTTAATAACTAATTAATTTTATTAAAAATCTGAACAAATATGATACGAGAAAGTAGCTGAGAGATCATTGAACATTCTGTTATAATAAAAGTGCATAGACTGTACTCAGAAAGTAAGTAATTAACGATTTTGCATACTCCTTATCGTGTATATTCCTGCGCGCCGCCCGCGCATACCACGGAGGAATAATCACCGAAAAACCATATCCCCGTAGACTTTAATGCAAAATTGAATTTGCTCGTGTTTATGTACTTCACTTTTCAACTTTTTTGTCCACGTTTTTCTCTTGCACCACTTAACCAATTCAACCGGATGACACAGTTGACTATTTTTGCTTTAGCGTGAAATTTACTCGCTGGCGTTAGGTTAGGTGCCAATCAAACAGACCTAGTATAGAAATTACAAGTAAAGGTAAGGTATAATTTCTTTCAAATTAATATATGTATATGATACAACTAATCTTTACAATGCATTGTATTAATTAGAGTAATTTCCAGAATGAAGCCTGTTCAAACAATAACACTTCAATTCATAAGAACATACAGGGGTAGATTAGCATCTGCTGGTATCCGAAGCAAAGTAAAACTACTAACAGAAGACAAAGAGTCTAAAATTAAACTTGAAGATTTGAATGAGGGCGATCCAGAAATATATGAACTTGATTTTGTAAATGCTGATGAATCTAGTGCAAGGCATGACAGGTACATGTATTAAGTTACAAGTTAAGATGCACATGTAATACATATCTAACCTCATATGTTCCCATTTTTCAGAAAAGTAGAAAAATCTGCAAAGCTTTTGCCACATCGTATTACCAAAAGCAAATATTTTAAAGAGCTAGAGCCAAGTTTCCTTACATTTGTTGAAAAAAATGAAATAAAGAAATTACACGATAGCGATCCAGAAGAATGGACTCCGGAAAAGCTGAGCCAAAGTTTTCCAGCTTTACCACACGCTATAAAAAAAGTTCTAAAGTCACATTGGGTACCAAAGTCAGTAGATGCAATAATCAGGTATGATAGTAAAGTTATTGAAAACTGGAAAAATTTTAAAACTGACAAATTGGTAGTAAGTCCTGCTTTGAAAGAGCATTTGATGAAATTCAGACAGAGGAAAATAAGCTTACTTGATAGAGAGTCACTTGAAAAGTTTATTCCTCCTCCTATAGTACTTCCAAAACCAAAAAGTAATTTTTTTTCACGTATGATAGAAGAAAAAACAGACAATACTCAACATGAATGCAGTGAACAATCAGTTTCTTTGAAGAACACTGAAAGACACCTAATCACAGATGGAAAGAAAACTATGGAAACATATACAGAAAAAGGCAATAATTACAGTCAAGTAGCACTCAGTAAAAGAGTACATAATGAAAGAAGTGAAAAGTTAATGTTCACTGATTTTATGAAAAAGAAATTGGACAATTTAGATGAAACATCTCCAGAAGAAAGGGAAGTACTGTTGAGTACCTATAGAAAACACATAGAAACTGTAAATGTAGAAGATGTAAGTAAGAATATATCAGATAATGATACAAAATGTAAAACTAATGAAAAGGATGTTGTTAAAGAAAATTTGTCCAAAAACAATGCTTCAACAGTCCAAAGTAAAAATGAGTCTGCAATAGAAGTTAAAAAAGATATGTCTAAAAACAATACTTTATCAGTCCAAAGTAAAAATGAATCTGAAGTGGAAGTTAAAAAAGATTTGTCCAAAAACAATGCTTTAGCAGTTCAAAGTAGCAGGCAATCAGAAATAGCAGTAGAAACCCGTGTGGAGTACAAAGGTTTAGAAACTTATGTTAAAGAAAGAGTCTCATTAATGGATACGAACTTCGATTACATAAAACGTATAAAAATTCCTAAAAATGCATTTAAGAAAGGTATGACGTACAGAATAAAAGACTGCTACTATGACGATGATGGAGAATTTTTATATAGAACACCTGGATTAAAAACTTAAGCAATCTTCGTTTAGTACAAAACATGTATATGCATTGTGGTCATAGCTTTATTTTTAGACTCTGAAAAAATGTTGTACATATATGTTAATCTTTAAAATAAGGTACAGCTAAGTATTTAATGTTAAAAATATGTTGTACTCATTGTATGATTTTGTACAAATAAATGGATATATGAAGTTATGTTGTTTTTATTTTCATTTCCTTACATTTCCAAATTCCCAAATTTTTATATGACCACAAAATAGAAGAGTAAAACATTTATGGAACAGAGTAGTAGATTTCACAAGCATTCGTAGTCTTATGTTCTAATTTTTGTCGCTAGATGTCCTCCTTCTTAATCGCAACTTAAAATTTTTTATGTTGCAGCTAAATCGGTTGTAAAATGGTAAATAATTATAATTATTAACTAAATCATCATCTTTTGCCTTAATGGGAACATAAGTTACACGTATTTGTTCTTCCTGGGCTACTAAAATTTATGTTTATAAATGTTTATGTATGAACCGGTCACATTTTTGTATCGAACCGAGGTTATGTCTCTCGCATAACTTTACCTTTATGTTTTTCATTTAGTTGCATCAGAAAATTTTGGTTTTTTAAAGGTGACATCAAATTGCATTCCTTTGAAATTTTACATAAAAATATTGACGCATTAATTAGTTACTATATACAGAAGAATGTATTCGCGTAACGTGGTAATAATTATACATTATTTGTTATAAAGATATATACTATTCCTTGAGTATTTATATCGACAGAGAAAATTGTAACTTACATTAACAAATGGATTATGATACATTATTAATATTTAACTTATAATATATTACATGTAAAATATTAATATTGTATGTAAAATATTATTACATTATTAATATTTTGAAGTAATGTAATATAAAAAGAAACTGTCCTAAATCCCAACCTTATTATTTTTTCCAGTTTCAGAATTTTGCAGCGTGTAGAGCAAGCCTTATTGGCATTTCGAGATCTGCGAGATCTAAAAAGAAATTTTCTAAAGATCATACAATTATAAGGTCTTACAATGCCTTCGTACCATCACAGTTACCTCATATTAGAAATATACAAGGTTTATCAGTGAGTTTCTTTTTACAATCTGTTGAATAGCAATTACAGATCTAATTAATTGTAGTTTGTCTCTTCAGATTAAATTATATTCTAATCCAGCAAGGAGACCTAGTTTTTTTACTCAGTTTCTGGAGAACATCAAGCAGGAAATGCAAAAGAGTAAAGAGATGAAAGAATCTTTAAAAAAGTTTAGAGAAGAAGCGGAAAAACTTGAACAATCAGAAGCATTACGTTCTGCAAGACAAAAGTTTCAAGCAGTTGAATCCGAAGCCACCAAAAGTTCTGAAGTTATTAAAGAAAAATTAGGATCTTTGAAAGGAAAAGTAAGAATTAAGAAAATGTTTTTATTTAATTCATAAGATTTGTATACTTACTTTACAAATTGTATCATGTAGGTACAAGAAGTTATTGAAGAAGCAAGTAAGTCAGAATTAGGTAAAAAGGCTGGGCAATTAGGTGAAGAACTGACAAAATCTGCAAGAGAAGCAGCAGAAACAATTTCTGAGAAAAGTCAAGCACTGGGTAAAACAAGTGCATTTCAAACAATATCACAAACTGCAGAAGCTGTGCGAGAAGAACTAGATCAACAAGGAATGCATGGTATGTTTATAATAATTCTGTAATCATGGTCAATTAATAACTGTTCCTGTAAATACATGATATTGCATTTTATGAAACATGTAGGAAGAGTATATGTTCCACCTAAAAAATTAAGAAAAAGGAAGGATGTGATGGAAGCTGTAGATATCAAACAGGTGCAACCAAACGAGGAAGCCACAGGTGTTGAATTACATAAAGACTCTAAATTTTATCAGTCATGGCAAAATTTTAAGGTATATATCACACAATGATTTCATTACATTAAATATTTATTAAGTTATTCATGCAGGATAATTTTTCTTTTGCAGGATAAAAATCCATATCTAAATAAAGTTTTGGACTGGAAAATAAAATATGATGAATCAGATAATCCCCTAATTCGTGCTTCCAGAATGTTAACAGAGAAAGTAACAGATATAATGGGTGGACTGTTTCAGAAGACTGATCTCTCAAAAACACTAACAGAGATATGTAAATTAGATCCTACTTTTGATAAAGCACAGTTCTTGAAATTCTGTGAAACAGATATTATTCCTAACATTCTTGAAGCTATGATAAGAGGAGATCTCGAGATTTTAAAAGACTGGTGCCACGAAGCTCCTTATAATGTATTAGCACAACCATTAATGCAAGTAGGAAAACTGGGATATCGTTTAGACAATAAAATTTTAGGTACCTTTTTATTTTATATAAAATTTTCTTTTTATTTTGTTATTGCACTTAAGACAATATATTCTGTTTTCAGATATCAACAATGTAGACTTAATAATGGGTAAAGTGATGGAACAGGGCCCAGTTTTAATAATCAGTTTTCAGTGTCAACAAATTATGTGCTTGAGAGATGCTAAAAATAAAATTGTGGAGGGAGATCCAGACAAAGTAATGCGCGTTACTTACATTTGGGTATTGTGTCGTGATCCTACAGAACTTAATCCGAAAGCAGCTTGGCGCTTGCTTGATCTTAGTGCCACTAGTACACAGCAATTTGTGTAGTGTATAGTTTAGGTATGAATTTAGTTAATGCTGCGAAAAATTAATGTGATTGCGTGACTGGATAATAAGTGAAAAGTGTCATGTTTCCTTAACACTTTCAATCGAATTGAAAAAGCTATCGTTAGGATTCACAACTTGTATATTAGTCCATCGATGATGGATATTAACTTCTGTGACTTGAATTGGACAGTGATGTTTGATGTACGGTTTGAGCTACAGAAGTTTTGTAAAATCTGCAGAATGTCTTAATCTATACATAAAAGTAGTAAATAAAAGTAAGATACATTATCGATGCTCATTAAAACAGAGAAATTTATCATTGTCATATTTTTTTCATGTATCTGACTACGAAGTCAGTCGTTTGTTATTTATGTTGCAAAATGTACATTATAAAGTACAATTTATCATTTTTATGGTTGTATTCATGTTTATACATGAGAGAAATTAATAGAACATAAATATTGATTGTTGTTCAACTATGTTCATAGTTGTATATATAATATGCAGAAAGGAACGAAAATTATAATAAAATTAGTTCTGTATATATTTAAATACTGATATTAAAACGTAAAATAATAGAGCCTAAGAAAAGCTATGTCAGATGCCAAATATATATATTTAGCACAAGTATTTTAATTACTAAAATATGATGTACAAATTTTATGATCGAACGAAGATTGTACATATTTAAACGTTCATGTTTATAATAGTACACGCATAGCTTATGAATAAAATTATTATTTTTGAAAAGATGTGATACATGAATTATAGTCACTTGTTTTCAAAAGGTACAATAAATTTTTACATATTCTAACAAGGTTTTCTCTAAATGCTCACTTTTAATAGCGCGATGAATTTTATAATATAAATTCTTAACAAATCACAATTCTTATTATAAGTAATGTTATACTACTCCATGGAGTATTGAAATTTTAAAATGAAATTAACATTTCAATCAATTGTAACAAATTTTCTGTATATTATTAACATTGTCTTTTGCATCAATTTTGCAATGTTGTAAGGTTGAAAAAGAAAAGAATATACTAATATAATTACAAAATGTTAAATAATGTATATGAATTAGCCTATATAGTTGTGTAAAAGGTAACCTTGCCATTTTCGCATGCGACATTATCGACTGAGAGTAAAATAAGATACTAGCGCTACAGATTTGAGAAACTTATCTATCAGTGATATGATATAATACAAAATACAATGTAATGCAAATTGCTATACAATGCAAGTTGCTATACAATGCGAATTGCTATATAATGCAAATTGCTATACAATGCAAGTTGCTATGCAATGCGAGTTGCTATGCAATGCAAATTGCTATACAATGCAAGTTGCTATGCAATGCAAGTTGCTATACAATGCAAATTGCTATACAATGCAAGTTGCTATACAATGCAAGTTGCTATACGATGCAAGTTGTTATACGATGCAAATTGCTATACGATGCAAGTTGCTATACAGTGCAAGTTGCTATACAATGCAAATTGCTGTACAATGCAAGTTGCTATACAATGCAAGTTGCTATACAATGCAAGTTGCTAAACAGTGCAAATTGCTATACAATGCAAGTTGCTAAACAGTGCAAATTGCTATACAATGCGAGTTGCTATACAATGCAAATTGTTACACAATACAATATACAATATCATGCAAAGTACAATACAACGCAAAGTACAATGCAACGCAAAGTACAATACATAACGCAAAGTAGAATACATAACGCAAAATACAATACATAAAGCAAAGTACAATATAATACAATAAAATATAATACTTATCAATATCTAAAATTTCACAACACACATTTCACTAATTCTAAATAAGTTAAATATTTTATACTTCAACTAATATAGTTATGTAAGTGAAATTTCACTTTAAATCGTAGCTCTTAGCTTGATATCATTTTCTAAAGATCATTTCAAATCTTTAGAGAACAATATCAATTACCAGGTCACACCACGTGGAGGTGGCTACGATAGTGACCCAC